TAGTCGCAATATTGATAACTCGTTACTAGTAGTCGTGATTCTCGTTACGTATTACATGCGCCTATGTACAAAAAAAGAAAAAAAAAACAACGACGATCGAACGCCGTTCTAAGGCCTCTCTACCAAGTGTTCTATCGCTAATAGCGTTGACTAAGTGTATGCTCACGATCATTAAGGCACGATCGTCTCGAAGCTCCACGAAGTTTCTCGTATATCAGACGTGGACGCTCCAAATCTGTCCGGGATCAGACTACATTACCGTTCAGCTGTCGCAGTCCCACGAAAGGTGGTGTTCGTGTCGCACGAAGCAAATTCTAATCGTTCAGGTTGGATCAACACTTCCTTTTGTCCTGTAGAATCTGTTCCACGTCTGTTCCTCCAACGAGCACCGCATTTCAACCGGAAATTCAAATTAATTATGATTCTAAGTATTTATCCATTTGTATACTCTTTGTACCTTTTAGAAACATTGAAGTTTATTTGAAAATTTTTAGTTTTTTTTTTTTTATAATTGTTAGTTAATAAAAAAAATTAGTGCACCGATAAAAGTCGAATTATTGTTTATATGAATAAAGTATCTTTTTATCACATGACAGGAAAACTTACGAATCATAATTAAATACAAAAAATCACCGTATATTAAAACGCATAAACGTTAAATCACAATTTTCAGCGCAACGCAGGTCGCTCGTTTCCCGCTGTCTCGTCTTGAACCTGTTGACCATGTAAATCGTTGCAGCTTCGTGGTGTGTACGGTCTACTTGGAAAAAGTGCCGTATCAAAAGTGTTGAAAGCAAGCAGGCCTGCCAGCTGCCGCGGCTACGCATAAAACCGCTACCCCCGTTTTCTTCTCGTCTTTCATCCGCGATCGGATCACCACTCGTTTTCCGCAAGCTTGCCCAAATGGACACTCCAGACGCTTAGACTAGATCATAAAGAAATGCACAGAACGACAAATCCGTGACAAGTTCGCCACGATGCAGTTTAAAGGTTAACTTTTTTTTTACGGTCGAAGAGTTCAGATACCAAGCGTTTGAAAGAAAAAAAAAAATTAATTAAAAAATTAGAATATCCAATTAGAATGTATTTGAATTTTGCTTAATATACGGACTCATCGACTGAACTGCATTTTTTATCGTGTTCCCCTTCGTTGATTTTCGGTTTGCGAAATGAATTTTTCGCTCAAACGATATGAACCACTCGTGTCTCGTGTAAATATCGAAGTGTTAGAAGATTAGACACGAGTCCTTCCTTTTTCATTTTACTGTTCGTTTTCTTGGATGATAATGTAGAGAAGAGAAAATGGATTCCTGTGAACCGTCAGGCCTGGCGAAACAATTGAAATTGCGAAAATTATAGGTTAGAATTGTTATACAAATTTTTACAAATACTTCTATACTTCTATCTCTCTTCTATTATCCTCCTCTATTCGTCTACGAAAAGTTCTACTCCTTTTTATAATCACTTTCATCTATTCACGTATGCATAAAAAACTGACGCACACTTATGCACTCGCTCTAGTGACACACAGACACATACAAACACACACTCGATATCTACGGATGGCGACACTCAATTCGATCCTGATTCAATGCATACTCTTGCTCTACTTCGATCTTTCAAGTTTCTCATTACACTGATAAAAAACTTGCATCGAAGTTATAGCTGCGACTTTTCTATTCAGACACTTCGAGTTCGCCATTGAATAACTTAATGAATCTAACAATAAATAAGGCTTATAAGTTACGAAAATAATGTGCTTCTCCATCCTCTGAGGATTAGAAGAAGTCGATAAAGAGTTATCGAAAGCCGATGAGATTACAGGCCGTTATCAATCAAGAAGTCTCGCACGACCGTATTTAATTATTAACAATAACAATCGCGTTTAGTGGATATAGTGTCGGTAATAGCGGTGAATATTAAAAATAATAGCGATAATATTTATACTATTCAAAATAGTAATAAAAACATTAATAATAATAATAATAATTGTAATAATAATAATAATAATGACAATTCTAATGACAACGAATTTTCGATGACGATGAAGACGAACGATGATGAACAATGGTGATATGAAGCTAATGATAACGAGTAATGATCCATAATATTAACGATGTTAATATTAATAATAATAATCCATAATAAGTTGCATGGAGTTAATATAGTGCATATAAACGTTAGCGTGTTTTCGCGCTATAATGATAACTGATGCCACCATCGGACATTTACCGCCACGACTCTAAACTCTCCCCAGGTTTGTCCTCTTTCTTCGTCTGCTTTTCTCCCACTCTGTTTTCTCTCTCTCCCTCTCTTTCTCCCGATATAGCCGTCGTACCATGTATAATATATACGTATACAATGCGTCTATGTACGCATGTATGTGTGCGTGTCATGTGTGCATGTATGTTATGCGTGCATGGCTGCATGTGAATGCGAGAGGTCACTCGAAGATAGAGAGCGGTTGGCTTCCGGTCCGTTGATCCGTTGATGAGAGCCAATTGATTAATAAATGTCTGGTTGTGGGTGCTGCACGGGACTCCATAGCGAATAACCGAGCAAGCAAAGGGAATATATAAGTATAGCGTCTGACGAGAACGATCTACGTTCCTTCCTCTTTTGCCGTGCTCATGTTATATGTATTGTTTCGTTACTTATCGTTATTATTACAGCTTCCTGCGATAGCCACCGATCATTCCAAAGGCGAATCTTTCTGTTTCGCTGATTACCATCTTCCGCCTGCGATACAGTGTTCCCGAATAGATGTTCAGAACGAGCACCAATCGTTTTCATCTCTGATCTCCTTTTTCCTTTTTCCTAACGACGATATATATGTATATATGTATATATAGCTGTTGCGATGGATACCAATGCTTTACCGTCTCTCTTCAATTCTTTCTTTTCTTTTCAGAATGTTTCTTTAGCATGTTGATTCCACATAAATCTCGTGGAATCGTTATTACATAGAGTTTCAAGTACGAAGGAATAGCGTACAGTTCTCACGCGATCCGATCAGGAGCCGATAAAATTGGACAAACCCCAATGTACCGACTGAGGTAACTCGTGCATCTTATCTCGTCCAGATGGCCTCGTTAAATCCTGTTCTCGCGTAAATCGAATATTACCATCCATTCCTACTGTCTATCCTAATAATATTCTTCTCGTATCACATTCTGAATCGTTCATAACTCCTAAAAACTAGGATTTCGAACATATCTTTGAATCGATCTATCAATGACGCTGCAGGCGTCATGGAATCAGCTCTAATTCCCTTCTTAACGAGCTTTCCCCATTCGTATCTAACGATTCTGCGATACCGATTCACTCCCGTCACTTATCTCGCTGCTTCTCGCTCGGTCTGGAATCGCTTTGGAATAAAAGGCAGCGACAATGACGACGACGATGACGACTACGAAATAGCTAATCACGAATTCGATGACTACAGAGAGAAACAAGGCCCAGGAACGTGTTTCCGTGAACCAGGACACTGTTCGAAGGAGGCTTTGTGAGCAGCGGCCGGAAATACTGTTACGATGATGACGTCTCGCCCGGCGACACTGCACCGTGCAACAGTCATCGCCATCCGCCGCCACGTATTCGCCGCGTTTCATCTGATGCGCGATCGAGTTGCAGAGCGCCCGTGGGCAACGCTTCCTGTCGCATCTCACCTCGCCATTCTGCAAACAGTCCAAACATACGGCGAAATCCACGTTAGACCCGGCGCCATTTTTCACCCTTGCGTGTTTCATCGTTTCGACACGGATGTCGCTTTTTTCATCGGGCTAATCTTTTCTACCATTGGTGGAGTGGTTATTAGTGGTTATTGAGAGATGGAGACACCCTAACTATTATTTCTTTTTTTCCTCTATAATTTGTACCACTTTTTGAAATGTATTTGATCAAAGTGGGAAATATTCTTGTGATATCTGGATTATTTAGAGAGTTCGAATGACGAACGACTAAGATCGGTACACAATAGAATTCAACGGAACAAGAGGTATCAGACAGGAGTGATACTTTTTCTCTGTGTAATGCTTGTCCGCTCGCGCGATCCGTGGCCGCGTTCCATTTTCATCGTAATGCATGGACCCTTTTAATGGTCGGCCCAGGCGAACGAGTCCGGTTAAAGGTTTTCTCCTTAAAGGTCTGTGGTCGTGGCCGTGTCTGGATATCGCAACGAGGCTACCAGCGAGACTGCTTCTAACGAGTGTATATACCGCGTCGTGCGACCGTACGGGCAAAAATAAAGTGAGCCGTTTTTTCGACAAGACCTTCGCATAAATAATGAAACGCGAATGAAATTGCCCGTGAGACTTTCTTGTTCTTTCCTTAAAACGATCAATATGATATTAAAAATCGTTGAAAATATTTGAAATCATATAAAAAATTTTTAAACTTTTTAAACTTAGTGTCATAATTCTTATTCTAATAGCAATAGTAATTATTGAGGAGTATTGAAAAGTAAAAGAGCAATTGAAATGTTAAGAAAAAATGAAATGCTTTTTAAAATTAAGAAAACTGTAATGTGACGTAAGAGTGAGTTACAAGATGGCTGTCAGTCAGCTTTTCCGCCGATAAAGTCATAGGATATTGGTAGATTTACCATAAGGAAGGTGTAAGCGATCATTACCAATAGGTATCTTTTACAAGATAGATATCGCTAATGTTAAAACCTTCCATAACCTTGAACGACCTTTGTTCCAACTTGTAGAACACGTCTGGACAAGTGTCGTTGCACCGAAACCAAAGAAGGATACACGAGCCCGCGAAAAAAATCAAGGCGCCCCTGAAATTTACTGTACATTTCCATTCAAAAGAAAGTCGCTCCGGGTTTCATGGAAACCGGTTTTTCGTATTGTTTAAAAAAATACTTCGATGCTTCCATTGAGCGAATGACAAAGTAAGTTGATTGTAGAAAATTATTCCAATAGTATCTCCATTTTACTATTATTCATTTCTACGTAAATTATTAGTAATTTTTTAAGTTTCAAAATATTTTAAAAAGATATAAATAAAAATTCATAAAAAAGCAGAAACACGAGAGCTACTTAACCTAACCTAGTAGAAAATACGAACAAAATACTTTCGAGCAACAAATTTCTATTTCACGTGTACCAACTGACAAAATTTCCCTAGGAACCTAATATTCGATTCAAATATAATTAATCTGTCGTAGAAAAATTGGTGTTTCCTCTGAATAGTCGTAGTTGCATGGTTCACTTCGCGGTGATACCTTGGAAAGGTAGTAAAGATGTGTCTTCTGGATCGTGTCGGGCAGTAACTTCAAGCACGAACGGAATGCGGCTGATGAGGGGTTAAGAGCGATCGTGTAAACCGGAAATTGTCGCACTCGCCGAGTAAAGTACCCTGACGATCTCGCGCTACTAGTTCTCAACGGTACACACGTCCAACAAGAGCCACTTTATATTTATACAATACCAAAAGAAATCCATTATTACCCTTTGAAACTTCCAATATGCTCGATCTTTACGTTTTGTCGGTAATAAAGGACACTGTACGTATTTTTTCACGTTACAAATTGGTTGACTTTCCAGCTACAGGGTAGTAGAGGTTATATCCTTGTTGTGTGGCAGCTCGTGTAGTGTAAGAAGTGTTACTAATACATCACTCCTGGTACTCTGATAGTAGCAACTAGGCAATACTGTGATTCATATGTGAACATTTCCGCTAGAAGTGTCCGTGTGTACGTGTGGTAACAGGCGCAACTATGAATAGTATCTTATTTTCTTGTAGCTCCGCAAATTGTACCTGTACGAGTCATCAATTTTCCTGCGGCCACAAAGTGCATGAGTGTTCCCGAGATTGCAACTAATTTATTCGTAAGCCTAACCTAATGTTTGCGAGACTCCATAGGCTGTGATAAATCGAATTGGTGTGGTGACCACGTATCATACTGAATTTCTTACAACCTTCATACTCCATGCAGCAGAAAATTGCATTTGCTATTCATGTTTCTAATTTTACACGTCCTTGATGTATACTAATTCAATTAGGAGTATTAATTTTTACGTTTTCAAAATTACGTCAATTACCCTATATTCTATACACAATTTACATATACAAAAATCACACTAACCTAACCTATGTTTTCAATGCATAAATCTTCAAAAGTACACCGATTGGTAATGACTCAATCTACCCACAATTGCACCAATTGTTCACCAAATGCAACGTACACATTTATAATACTGATTTACTGGTGCAGAATTGCACCACTTGTGCCATACATGCAATTCATACATATGTTCACATATCGTGCTAATCCCTACAAATTGTATCGATGCTCTGGTGGCAACGGTTAGAACGATCGCTCTTCCCCCTCTATCGCCGTGGCGCGCAACTATAATCTCCAAAAATTTGTGGGGCACGTGCGCCACTACCGATCGAGAGGATTCACATTCCGCGCGGGAACAAGTGCTGGCCCGATTGGCGGCCGCAAAACCGTCACGATCCGGGAACGTTCATCTACGCTTTCAGGCGCCGACGCAATCTCATCTTCATCGCACTTATCGCGCGCGGTTAAAGAAAAAACGCTGGTAGACCGACCACAAAGAATCTTCGTTCGCTTTAGCGGCAGCGATGGCCTCGAGGCACTTCGAACACGTGATTTGAATTTTGAGCTTTAGATACATAAATTTGAGCTTCTTTTCTTATTATTTAAAAATGAGACATTTGAACAAGTTTTAAGAATTCTAAAAGCCCCTCCTCCTAGGGGGGGGGGGGATTATAATAATTTTTGGATTTAGGGAGAATAGAGTGAGTAATATTGTTTATAATTATTCAGTTTGAAAAAAAAGTTTTTAAAAATAGATATTTCTTCCAAGTTGCAAAAATTTTCGGATTGCATCAAATAATTGATCTTAATATAAAATATAAGTCTCACAAGGGTTTGTAATTTTGATTTATTAGAACAATTATTTAATTAGATTATACTCAAATCAGTCAGCTGAGTGTGATTAGTAGAAGGGAGAAAACACCCGTGAGATATGAGGTGCTGATTGTTAATATCGGTGCATAATTAGTTACGCTAGGCTAACCTGTAAAAATCAGTGGAACATGAAAACGACTGCTACCTGGAAACAGGATAGGACAATCATTTACATGAACCAAGTATCTCTCAATTATGTCTACTATATTCTACATTTCCGACAAATAAAACCTTCAAATTTTTCTTGACATTTTTGACGTTATCAGTTATTAATTAAATAATAATTCGACTATTGCACTCTGTCAAAATCCTCAAAATCCCTAGAACTCCCTAGACCCATGAAATTTAATTATAATTCTCCAACCTTAACGAACGTCGAAGCGCCTCAAAAGCGCCGTTAGGCAGGAAAATTTGCAACATAGGAACGAAGACGATCGTCGTCTATTGGCCAGTGGTTCTCACCTTGCACCTGCACTTTACGCACTTCATCTCTCCGTGCGAGTGAACCCGTGGATGCCACTCCATCCCGTTCTCGTATGGACCACCAAGGGGATACTTGCAGCCGCCGGAAGCCAATATCTCCTCGGCTGTACGTCTGGTGGACAGCGCCGCCTGATCCCGCGGCAGTCGCGTGGTGTCGCCCACGACGCCAGCGTTCGCAGTGCTGGGCGTCGTCGCAGGACACTGCCTGCAGCAGGCCTTCTTGCTGGGTCTGAAGGCGATCGTCTCGTCGCAGTCCAATGGCGGACACTGCACCCGTGGACACTTCACCTCCAGCGTGACGGGCTGCAAGATAAATGGGATCCTCAGTCGATACGTAATGCCGCGTTCGTATTGCTATTATTGGAACATGGAGTCGTTTTTTGTCTGGGTTTTAAAAAGAACATGGTTGTATTTGTGGTAGAGATCGAAGAATTGGAAATCGATGTCGAGTTAGGTTAGGATAGTAGAATAGCTAGTTTCCTTCTTAGGTAGACATTGTACTATCTTATTGAAATAAAGTAAAAAAATTCTTTCATTGCATGAGAAGATTATAAAGAAGTTCGTATCCTAATCTATTATGTACTAGATGTGTTAAGCCTAAAAATTGGACATACGTCAATACCCGTCTCTCAGACTAACCTACTATGGGATTAAAATGAAACTAGAAGTGATAAAAATATTTTACATAATAAAATTCTACAAAAAGAGATACCAGGGCGATAAGGTCAAGTAAAACACCCAGTATATCAGCTTCTGATTTGTCAACGCGAACGAGCGCGTTATCCAGCATCAGACGTCCCCCCAGTAACACGCACGGGTCTGGTCAAGCGCAATTTAAGTGACAAGCCGCGGATCAAAACGAACGTCTTATCTCCGGTAATGAACATGACTCGGTGCAACGTGTTTCAGGCATGACTTCAAACAATTCGCTAATATCTATTTAGAAAGGCCTGTCACTGATTGCCGATCACCACACCGCGCAACACGGAGCTCCCTTTTCATGACTCGGCAGAGAGCAACCGCATTCTTCTGGCGCAACGAACTCGCGCACACGCACTCGTGCGCATGCGCGTCCGTGCACTCCAGTGTCTGGTTGGATTTTTCATTCGCGCGCGGGCCTTTTATAAAAGCCTATTGCCTACGAGAGAGCCGTATTATAATATATGTCGCAGGATCGACGCCTGATGTTGGAATATCGTTACGAAACCCCACTGGCCAACCGCGAGAGACCAGAGAGTGAACGTATGGTAAAGAGGTAAACAAAGAATCTGGAAAAAGTCAGGCCACCGCTGGAATTCGAACCGTCGTGCCTCGCGCGTTTCAACTCCCTGTTCCGCGTCTCGGTACCATTTAAATTCCAACACGTTTCGAAATTCGACCTAAGGTTAAAGAACGCTCACGTTACCTCTTATTATGGCGCCACCGAGGGAAAATCGGTAAGAGAAATCCTGAGTAGTTGTTCACAGATCAATTGTGCTGGGTATTTTGTAATAGACGAATTTTTTTATAAGGTTTTATTTCTGGAAAAAGTGATTTTCATTTAAATTGCGATTTTAAAGAAATATAGAATACAGTCTACAGTCAGACGAGAGCTCAACCCTGTCTCCCACTCTAAAGATAAGCATAACATGATGTGAATGATGTGACGAGTGTCGTTCAGTCGGTAACCTCGAGTGATCAATTAATTCCGTATCGACAGTAACAAGAAAAGAATAGTAAATAAAGTAGTGTTTCAAAGCTTACGTCACAAGTGCAGACTGCGCATGTATCGAATCCTACAGGTGGCAAATATGGATGCCACGACGCCCCTGGTAAGTGGAACTGACCAGCCAAAGTACAGCCTCTTGTCACCGAGCTAATATTCTTCCCCGTCGCGTTCATGTTGATCCCCGGACCTGTTCACACAGAAACCACACAAAATTCCATTGTATTACTACATTCATTCTTATCTAGAAAGTGACAAAATAAAGATCGTAAAACAACAATTTACCATAGGATTTCTCTTATTCCCTTGTTTCACTTGTTTTTCATGTATCTCACATTGTAAGTCAAAAGCTATCTACAAGACAATCTTCCAGGAAACCAGTGGCAATATAAATGTCACGTTTATCTAAAACGAATTCCTACCGGTAGAGCTTCTAAGGATAAATAGCGCAACAAATAGTGAGAACCGGACGAAGGGAACACCGTAGCCGATTTAATTAGATACAGTAGAACGTCAATGTATCGAGAAGATCGAATCTGAAGAAGATGACGGATTGCTTTAATTCGATTCCACCGGAAAAGTTTTTCTCGACTGGTTGTTGCCTGCGGATACGTCTTTATCTGTTTGAATGCGTTAAACGAAGGCAGCTTCCGATTTGTCTGACCGATTAATCGACTGTGAAACGGGAGGAACACTTGAACTGGACCGTTTCACTGTTCCTTCGCGTCGGACGTACCCGATCATTCCCGATGGAAACTGATGACGAAACAAGCCTGGCTAATAGGATTCTAACCCTGAACCGGTAGAATGATGTGGTTGTCGTGTAATTGATTAAGAGGACTTCAATTGATTTCGATTAAAAGGAGTGCTCGAAGGCACGTACTTCGCCTGATTAAGTATAGTGATATTCCATCATGGGATTAACTTGTTAAGAGTGAAGACGTGTCTCGATATTTTGGTCACGTGAACAGAGAGGTTAGGTACCGTGAGAAATTTGTTTTACTAATTCAAATTACAACTCACTTGAAATATAATCTTCTAACATTTGAAATAATTTAAGATAGACATTGTGACCTAAAAATTGATGTTTGCAATTTTAAAAAATTGCAAAAAGAATCTAACAAACATTACGATCGATTCTCGGTATTTTACTAACAAAAACTATCGGTGACAGGTGAAAACGAACAAGCTGCGAAATAATTCGCCCCGTGTATCGCGATCGATAAGCGATCGTGTAATTTAAACGGGATCGTAGATAGGCGTAACTAATTCTACGCGATTACTTTCATGGAGCGTGTCACGGGTAATCGGATTTAATATCGACACCGTCGAAAGGGAAGGATAATTAATCCGGCGTATGCCACGTGTTATTCAGGGTTACAAGGATTTTACTCCCATCTTTGATAATGTAATTCCAAAAGATTGGGTAATTTTAAAAAACGTAAGAAAATACAAAAACTCCATTGGTAAATATGAACAAATATGACAAATTAAACATTTCTTAAAAAAATAAGTTAAAATAAAATTATTAGTCATATGAGCGAATAAAACTTCTAGCTATAGTGAAGAGTGCAGTTTTTAACGCTTCAAAGTTAGGTGCTCTTCCCATCATCCCAGCCATAGCTTTCCTGATACGCCATCTTAGAAGCCTCTAACCTCTACTTACATTTATTACTTTTTTTAAGCACTTTGCATTAAACAAAAAGACCGTTTTTCCACAACGAAATATTTTCTCATTTGAACAATTATTCTCTCTTTCTTCAAAATGAAAGTTATATAAAATTATTTAAAAGAAAGTATCATACCTGAACAAATAGGACAACAATGACCAGGGGCAGGCTTCAACTGCTTATCCTGAGGACAAGTGAGTGCTGGACAAAGTACTCGGTCGCACTGTGCCAGTCCACGGTAACAATGGCACATGGAGCACGGATCAGTGCTAGAAGTCCATTGCGTACCCTCCTCGTAGAACCTAGTCTCATGGAAACATGCGCTCGTCTCCATATCCGACCTGGGTGGTTGAAGATTATACGCAACCACTGAAGCCACATCGTTATCCGCACAATGAGGAAGACAGCTGAGTGGCGCTCTAGCCTTGAACCGAGCCTTTAGAATCCTTTCAGCTTGGCTGTCAGTCACTTCAAGAAAGCCAATACCAGACTCTATTCTGTACAATTCAGCTGGTGAGAGTCCAGTGACAGAACCTTCCAAAACATAACCAGAGAACTCTTCCAGTAATTTCCTTGCAACAGGTGCTCCCTGTGCTAGTAAAGGTTTCGTTTCCAGATACAGTCTAAAGCTACGCGGTTCATGATTACTATTGGAAGACGTTTGAGGGAAGCCAGCAATTTCTAGCTCATAGTGTAAAGAACAGTCTGAATCCACAGCTGTCCAGACTAGACCAACTGGACCAGATTGTACAGGTTCCTGAGGCAATCTTCTAAGTAGTACAGGTGCAGCAGTGTCTCTAGCATCAGCTACAGGTCTCTGCAGCAGTCGACCACGCAACATGGAACCTACATGAGAAGCTGCAACCACTGCTAGCTCACCATTGAACAATGGTTCAAGCAAACGTGGTCCTGGACGGTCTAGAGAGCCATTAGCTAAGCCACCTATTAGAGAAGGTGTCAGATCTTCCAGTTCGGTGCGACGTTTGCCCCCTTCGTCTACTAGAGTCACCAGAGGACTCTCTTCTTCCAATCCAATCAGCTGAACGCCATAACGCAATGATCCAGCTCGATCTAGGAACGCCCAGGCTAATCCAGAGGCTGCTGAAGGTGTTTCTGATAAAAGTAGGGTCTGATATATTTCACAATTAGCTCGTGGACCCACTACACCAACTAATTTTAAAGCTTGTGGATCCTTCCTAGACATTATGCTAATAGAAAGTTTGCCTCTTGTCAATAAACGAAGATCCGCCCCCAACAGGGTACTTCGAACTTCTCCAAAGTTTAATTCGTTCGATGGCTTTTTCACTATGATTTCTTCACGCAAAACCACGTAGTCTTTCTCCATATGTTCCAACTGCACTATCAGAGGTACATCGGCCACATCGTTAGGCAGGAAGACTCCATTGAATACTAAAGATACGTGGATAGATGGCGCTGATGCTGATGAAGCTGATACTATGGCGGTTGCTCCTGCACCTGACATCAGAGAACGGTCCACTCCCATTGTTGGTTCCAGTAAAGCAGAATACTGTTCTGTAGATAAGGCACGATAACGAGATAACTGTCCAGTCAAGGTGGCTGATGGCTCCCATATAAAAGACACATGAAGACGTTCCTCGCGTAGTAACTTCCGGTAATCACGGGGAACCCTCCTCCAAACACCACAAAGTTTCCCCGTTGCATTTTGGTATACACCTCCGATGGTATCGATTGTCTGCTCCTCTAGAATGCTACCTGAACCGTCGACGAATTGTATGTTTCTCGGTCGAGGTGTCGACGTCGATAAGTAGAAGGAATAGTATAAGTTCTTGCGGTGAAAAGTGAAGCGACCAGTAGCCAAGTAGTTGTAGGCACTGTTGTACATTGATGTTGGACTTGGCTCATCGCGACGCAGAGCTTGAGATGTTCTGCCTGTCAACAGTGTCCCGAAATCTGGAAAAATGTCAAGGGTAAGACTTGAACGGAAATTGGAATGGATTGAGTGAGTAGAAGAATGGTAGGGACAGTTACGTTTCAGGCTTTGCTCCTCTTCTTCGGATGTTAATTGTGTCGGCAAATCCTGCACTATGTCCGTACCTAAAACATGGTAGAATGTCTGTCATATTTGGGAATTTATTTTCAAGTGTAGCATTGCAAAGAGTGATTCATTATTTTAATACTGTATTAAACGTGAAACGTATTGAAATGTTATATATAATTCACATATTATAATTCTTAATGTTTACAAATGCAGATAAACGAAGAATAAAAATTGTTTTATTAATATTATTCAAGAAAAATGTAGAAATCGCCGCCATCGGGGACTCCGATTTTCCACGACGCGCGCATATACGATGAACGAGCCGTGAGGCATTGAGAAGAGAGCGTAGTTAGGAAAAAAAAAATTGTTTTATTGCCTCGTAAAAGGATCGCTCGCGCGCGCCACCGTCGCCGGAACTCCCTCCCTCTGGCGAGAAACTTCTCGTTAAAGTTCATTTCTTAAGGAGCAGTGATATACGCCGGGGTTTTATGCCGCCCGGCATAACCGCCCATATCGAACCTCTCCCGCCGCTAAAAATCCAACGTGGCGACCGCAGAGAGAAGAAGAGATGCATCGCTCTTTCTCCGCCCTTTCCACGCCATCGACGAGGATAATGGACGCGTGTATATGTATACACGTATCCGAGCTCGCGTGTCGCGTCGTCGATCGTGAAGTCGGAAGACTTCGCGTGGTGGCGTATCGATTATAAGGCGGCGGCACACCAAGTAGCCCGAGAGCTCGGACATAAAACAAAAATAATAACCAACGGAGAAAGGATATATAGGGTGAGGGGGGAAGAGGAAAGATGGCGGGAGGGGAGAGAGAGACAGAGAGAGAGAGAGAGAGAGAGAGAGAGAGAGAGAGAGAGAGAGAGAGTCGAGAAGAATAAAGAGAGATGAAGAAGATGGTATTGGAAAGAGCGGGACAGACAGAGTGAATCCTCATTCAGTCTGCGATGTGTGTACGAACCATAAAGAATGCCCGTGGGGTAGGAAAAGAGGCGGCTGGCGCCAACCACCGCTACTTTGAATGTTGCTTTTATGGCGCATACCGCGCCGGTCCAGCCGCACGGATACGTTAATTGGTATACGTACAGTACGAACCAGTGACAGCCACCAACAACCATGGAACATCACGAAGCGCCGTTTCACCTTTCTACCCGTCGTTTCCTGCCTCCTAACCCCGAGGATTTACGGATATTCGCTTTCACAGTAATATCTCGACTGCACGTTTTTCCACTAATCCGTTTCGTTTTTCACTATTTCACGCAGAACTTTTTTCTACTATGAGTAGCAGCGATATGAAGGTTTTACGAAGACTGTTATATTAACTGACCTTTGATTGTATTTCAAATTCAAATATAAATCGAAAATTTTTAAATTCAAATGCAAAATGTAACACTATATACATCGGTTCTACTCCATTATTATTTTTAAACTGCTTAAAACATAAAATAAATTAAAAACAAGTTATGGAGACGAAGTGATCATGGATTTCATGTACTGTACCGACGGAGAGCCATGTGGCCCGTGGCGCCTCGCTTCTTTATCTCCTGTGCATTAGGAGCCAAATGAGATGTCAAAAAAGCTGCACGTTCCGATGAATTACGTCAGTCTGGCGCGTTCACGTAGCCATCAATGTTCGTAATCAACGCGAAAGATGACGCCAGTAATGGCGTACATTGATTACCATCATACATTTATTCAACCAATGACAATATTTTCTGTATACCATTCTATATCCATCGCACACCTTCCTAAATACCTTCCATTTAAGTGTACAGTACATTCTATAACCTTCAAATTTTATTACCGTTCTTGTCGACGGAGATAATAATTTTTTTTTTTTTCATTCCAAGGAACAATAAATGCAAATTTCAGTAACATAGTTGGGAAAAATAACAGGGTTAGATTTTTTTTAAAACTAAGGGGCGTATAGATTACAGAATTTATGGCAGTTGGTTGTGACTAGAAAAAGCATTATGGCCAATTTAGTGACATTCACACGAGAATCGACACTTCACGCAGTACACGTTTGACTGAAGGTCGGTCGTTATTCAGGATTAAACCGTGCTCGTGAAAACGCCGCCAAAATCAGCGGTGTCTAGCCTAAACTGGCTGCCTTTCACATTCACCGAAATACCAATCCTATCTAACCTCACCTATTTTTCCTGTATTTTACAACCTTCTAAACACGTTTACTTAACACTCTACAGAAAATCCTCAAACTAAACCTACGTAAGAATAAACCAAACAAAGAACTAATTTTTTCAATGCATATATTCCTATTACGCACATCAAACATGAAGGAAATGCCACCCAATCAGTCACTAGCCACCCCTCACGCTGTCCCGTAATTTTTTCACGAGAGATCACTTGTTTTTCATTCCTAGGCGGCGTCCTCACGAGGCGAGAAATTAGCGAAAATTCAAGCGACATCTCGATACCATGTTAGCGCCAGTGTAACCGTGAATGATCGCAATCAGAGACGGTCACGGGGCCCCCAGACAAAAAAACGACCGAAACGGTGCCACTTTTAAATGATCTACCATAATTCCTGGGACAGTGCAGTATATATTAACACAACGCGATGCTAACAGTTGATCGTGAATATTTTTCTCCCTCTCGGTGTCGGACCCTTGGGTGCCCTTTTCCTGGGAGTGGAGGGATTCAAACAAGTTTCGTCATTATCCGTCGAATGGGTCTCCTTTCGTGTCTCCCCTGCCAACATCCGGGACACGGGTTGTCGTTCGTCGTTTCGAGCCGATGAGAATCGATGTGACAGTCCAATCGACGGGCTCACGGGTCACAGTTTCTTTTCGAGGAACGTAAAAGGGAGACGCGAATGAGCGAGCGCGCACGCGCGTATTCGTAATCGTAAGCGGTTTCACCTTCCATCAGCAGGGGGCAACGAGCCTGACAGACGACGACACGAACACGACTACGATGACGGGGTGGGATAAAGGGGGAACACGGATACACGAAAAGGAATTTTTGCACGCTCTGCAACTTTATGCTATTAACTGCTTCGTAACGCTCGCACGTGGGCCGAGAAGGTCGATTGCCTAGGGAATTTTTTGTCTAGTGGTTTATATGATCATATATCACGGCGTCTCTTTCTCTCTCTCTCTTTCTCAAGTTATTTTAAGTTGGTTATTTTTGAATTGCTTAATATCACTTAAGAATGAAAGAGACACACACATACACGATTGGTAATTGTGTAACTTTCTGTCCCTATGTGTATGAAATTGAGGTTATGATTAATGGTTATCCGAAATTCACATCTGGAACGCTCATTTTCCATTGTATTCATATACACGAAACGTATTTAGTTTGAATGCATTCACAAATTAGCTATAATAAGCTGGTAAGTCTGTAAGACCACCATATCGAGATGACCTTTTCGAATCTGGTTTTTGCAGGGTACTGACCGTGTCAGATGGGTGGAAACGATAGATACTCGGGCAAGGAACTCACGAATGAGAAACGTAACGCGGGTATCGCCATAACGCTCGTAACGCGACATGCGGCTGAATTGTTAAACGCGATAAATAGCGGGCCCGCGTTCAAGACTAATACACGTCATGCCATACGAGGCAACCGGCAAATTTCTCTGTACGGGATTTGTTCTTACGCCATGTATTTATTATTGGTCACTTGGACGCGATACCATGTCCGTTTTCTCCGTGCTACCAATACACGCATTAATTCGACAAGAGAAAAACCATTGCTATTCGCATAGTTCTGTTATATACCCATACATCGTAGTAAAAATAAAAGCACGGAGTTGTAAAATAAATCGTTCGTAACCATGGTAGCCGGTAACATAATGAGAAAGTAGTCAACTAAAGTTGTGCGTATGATTTCCAACTCGGGAAATAAGTAACGGGTGGACGTAAACATTCTAGGGATTTTTACGCGCGGAGGTTGACCCGGCTGGAATCCGGTACAATTAGTTTTCCCTACCCCCTGTTTTAATCACTTTCAAAACGCGCTACTATTTATTACCACTCAGGAAAATGTCGATCAATAGAATAAATAGCCATTAAAAAACATTAATGTAAAACGCATTGCTGAAAACATTAGCTCCCAACACAGAGCAATCTAAAGTGCGCGAGATACATACTACCAACCAACGAGGAGAGTGTCGTTGACAAACACACTAAAAAAAAAAAAGTGGAAGAAGAAAAACGGGTCAGACACGAAATTAGCGACGATGAAGCATCCATGAGGATAAAGAGCACAACGCAAAGAGAAACTATAAGAGGTGACCAAGAGGAGAAGAGTACAGTAGCGGAGAGGATGGTCAACATTGGAGGAGGAACGGTTAGCGATCATCTGCCCCTCCTCCTACGCTGTTTTCCCCGCGACCTTCCAACCCTCCCTCCAGGTCTCGTCTCCACGTCTATTCTCATTCCCGCGCGCGTTATGCCCGATCATTACGTATGCTAATATTTACATTTAGATTGCACGGCTTAATCGAAGTGACGCCATGCGGTAATATAGCCGGCGCCATGGCGCTAAACCGTGGCGCCCGACCACTCTCTCCCTCACTCTCTCGCGCTCACACGGTCTCCCGACCACCAACCTTCTCTACTCCTCTTCCTCTCCTCCTCATCGTACCATTCACTACTCTTTTTCTCTGCCCATGCTGCCGGTTAATTCGGTCTCTCTCACGGCTTGTTATTTCGCTTATCTGCCACACGCTGCTGCGTGTCCCACGAGGCGATCACAGGGTGGCACTGTGCGCGCTCCGCTGAGAAATTGATTCGCCATCTTTTCTCAACGCAACAAGCACGTACATGTCACAGACACGACACGAGGGCGTCGTAAATCTTTGTGCATTATTATTTCGAACGGTCGAGAGGTTTAAAAGTGTTAATGAGATAAATTTGCAATCATGGTAAATTCAACGAATCTTCATGGGTGAGTCCATCACGTAAGCGATACGTTTACCGAATTACAGATATGGCGCACTGAATCACATAGAGCGGTTAGAAGCATACTAAATCGCTAAGGCTATGGTAAACAACCAATAGTTTCACGTCGATAGTCCCCGATACACTGTTAATTACACCTAATTATAAGTTTTACGCGAGTCTCTACCTTTCTTGTTGCCAACTGCGAAAATGGTGTAACAACGTTACTGGACGAACCGCGCAGGTTCGTACCGTTCGCATTTCTCATTCGCCAGATTGCGTGTGACGAAATATAATATGGGAAAAAATACACGTAGATAAAAGGAGCGTGCAATTCTTCTATATTGCAAGATAAAGAAATCTCCGTTTCCTCTCCACCCCTGGAATGGAAATAGAAAGCCAACGGACAATGACAGCGGACTTGTCCCCGGTTAATAAATGCGAGCCCGCTAATTGATTCTAAGTAACCAATAAATTGCACTGCCCACATTGTAAAAGCGTTATGGCGGACGCATGCGCGCGCGTGTGTGGTCGAGCAGCGCTATCTTTTCTCCGACGGTGTATTTCGTCCATTTTTCCTCGAGGCCGCTTGTCTGTCGGCCGATGCACTATCGTAAAAGCCCGCGCTTTTCCTGACTCCGTGAAAAACGGCGGTCTTAATCGACGAGGTGATGATAGCGTGGTTGAGTATCGAGACGGATATTGCGAGAGTATCGTGATATCGATGCAATAAATTGTGAATCTTAAGGAGGATACTTCAATGTGAGAACACACATTTTAGGTTGACACGTAGTAGTACGTGCTAGATCTTGCTGGGTATTATGGTGATATACACAGTGTTTAGTTATGTTAACGTTTCTAACCTAAATCTAACGTTATATTTTCTACAAGAAAAATAAGAAGAAAAACATTAGCAAATAGCAATTAAATGCTAACGCAAGTAGTTGACAAAACATTCCAAGAAAAATGCTTCGCAAAAAAACGTCACTATTACGCAGATTATTTTAATAACAAATTATCAGAGATCTGAACCAAGTAATAATCATAGAAAAACGTGATTATTAAAACAACAGACAGTTTTCTCTATAACATCATTTCTATTTTGCGACATAGTTTCTCGTTACAAAAATTTGCTATGCTCGTAGAAGTTTGTTACCGACGGTGAACGAAACAAAAAAAAACTTCATAAAAGGTGGGAACAATTTTCCTATTTGTAAATAAAACATAGGATTCCTGGCACGTACATATCAAGTACGAGACAGTTTTTTCTAAAACGTCCCGAAGTCACTTTAAATGCAACATCTTGTTTCTTCTGCTCATGTCGATTATCTCATAATCGGCTAAATACGACGTTTATGATAATATACTACCATTATAGTAATAGATAGTCAATCAAAGTATAATTCAACCGAGAAACGACATCTTTTTTGTGAATTCGCTTACGTGTACGAAGTAAATTTAATGTTTATCAAACGACTGGCTGCTTCGTCAAATTGCCCGAACCATAATTCCATCTTTCATCGTCTTCTTGTTGTTCTATTTTTATTCGACACGTTTAACACGGACCACTTTTTCACTTCGAAGTAATAGAAAATAATATATAATTCAAATTCAGCTTACGATAATAACGCGTATCCTGATTAATATCCTACAAAGTATTTTTCAACAACGATAAAAATATCGCGTTAGATTTATAGGTTAAACACGAACACTTGCCCACCACGTTGCCTTTATACATACAAAAAGCTCGTTGCACTCGATCAGAATACCGTTCACAAGAGAGTGCTAAATCCTCGGCCTTCATTTTTCGCCGTTTCCACTTAAAAACCACAAGAATTGGCGCAAGCATTCCGAACATTTCATGTATTCCATCCGCATTCTACGGCGATTAACGGCGACATAGAAATCGGCCGAAGAAAGGCGTTGGGCGAGTGTACACAAAGAATTTGGCCTGTGCTATTCCAGTGAAAGTTGCACATCTGCGAGATAATGTTCCGCATGGAGCACGAACGAGATAACGGACGCAGAACGAGCAAATTCTATACATCAACGCGTATGGCACAGTAACTCTGACCACATGACCTGTTTTATTAGACTGTGTACGAACTTTCCTACCCTGGTTTCACTGGTGGTGTAGCCAATCACAGCTAGGAACCGTCAACGAAAAGAAACATGGATTCCTAGGCCAGAACCAATCAGAACGCGATAAACAAGACAGAGTGGTCAACTGCCCTCGAGAACGAAAACATTGAAACATAAAACACAACACGCCACGGTGTGTAACGGAAAAAAAAAACATCAGAGAAAAAGAAGCACGATTCTCTGTGAAAAAAAGAAGCATAAGCAGAGTCTCTCATTTCGTGGCGCTCTCTTAAAGAAAAAGAGTTGCATACGCGTTGATCCGCTAATCCCTTAATAAGAGCACTCGAGAGCGTTGAGGAAATAATAAAAGTGAAGGTACCGGCGATAACGGTCGACCATGATTATATGGCATTGCAAATACAATTATCGGGTCGATCGACACGATATAGAGAGGCGCTCTTCGAAGAAGCTCGAAGAAGAGAGAGAAAGAGAGGGCACCGTTAAGATCGATAAAGACAAAGATACGGACAAAAGAGGCGGTGATCATTGATAAATGATTTATGCAAGCCACTTGACTCTCATTAATGCCCACAGTTCTCTCTCAATACGTTGTGTCTATATCCTTTCGTGATGTTTACGAGCCACGATCGTTTTAACTTTGCTGGTAGTCACTAAACTCTTCTTTTTATTGCCATTTTTTGTCGTTTGAAATGTTTATAGTAGTTGATAGTCTGAAGAAGTATCGACAGTGTATATTTTAACTTCGACGGGTAAGTATTCTGATAAATATAATAGAACTAGGTAGTCGGGTGGTGAATATTTTTCTTCTTTAAATGTAACATTAAGGACTACGTTCAGATAATCAGTGACTGTCAGGTGAAAACACACGTGTTCCTTTGAAACTGTGATCGATACACGAGTCTCAGGATCATATTACGGCAATTCCCTTATCTCTGAGATACCGTCGCGTTAAGTAATGACAAGCCACTATATTTTCTCATAGTATACTATGCAACTCGCAGGTGTAAGCTGTCCAATGACACGTCTTTATATAGGTGTCACTAGTGTCACTTTTTTTTTCTTTTTTAACCCGATGGTATACGTGTCTGATGTTAAGTATATACAGAAAAAACAGTGTTACTTACTGAAATCACCCGGACAAGATTTGCAGCATCGGCCTGGAAGCAGAACAGGCTCTTTACACGTGAGTTCCGGACATTCGTTCTTGATGTTACGGCACTGGACTCTCGCCACGATTCGCCGTTTCTTTTGCACCTGAAACCCAGAATACATTCTTATGAATAGAATGCTTAAAAAATTACCGAAACCGTAATAAACGAAATTTCAATTTAAAATTTAAATATTTAAAAAATATTCGTTAGAAAATTAGAAGTGGGACAAAAAAATTTAGAAAACAATGTAATGAAGTTAATCATTATGCAAACATTAACAAACGCTAATTAGCTATTTTTCTTTCTCAACCATGCGAATTCCAGCGAGTTTCCCTATCAGCCTGTTCATACTACTGGACACGTTCGAAAGTGTGATTGTAATGTTTTCGTAGCTGTAAACGTGCTCACATGTTTATTACTCCTTTACGCATCGCTGACGATAGTTGTAACGTTTACATATATACACATCATGCATAAATCTATCGACAAGTAATTGGTAGGTGTTATTGATCACAAAGGACTCGTTTATCACGGTCAATGGTGTCATTATTCGCGATACGATTTACACTACTCCCGTCTAATATAAATTATCGTTTAACGTCTCTGTCGGTTACCAACTTTCCAAGGGTTTCGCGTGAAAAAGAATGGCTCACCCTATCGCGACTATTTCGAACCGTGTCAATGGCGGCGTTGTTACCGATGCGTGTTCTACAATACCCGCATGTCTTATAAATTCATATTCCATGGCTTTGTATGTTCGCCACTTTCTACTATAGATCTGTCGTTTCTGGTCAAAGGTATTTCTCTTTTCAGACATCTTACTCGTGCAAGCTAACCGTGTAGTTCTTTACGACGCATTCATTGCACAATGGTGCGATTCAATTCGTGAACTATGAATATTTATCTAAGAAAAGTTCGTTGTTTTGTACATTTTTCTAAAGACAATAGTGTCTACTGAAATTTTAACTAGGATACAGAAATCCTCTGGTAGCAAGTAAGAACGTACGGCCATATTTTACACACTCTGAGTAGTACCAGCTTTCTAAATAATTTTTTTTAATAACTGAAAAAAAAAGTATTGTCGCTGTTCAGAAAATTATGAATATACATTTCGTTTGGTTATCTTTATTCACCGGTCAGAGAATACCGTGTGTAAAAGTCTTAAAGTAAAACTGGCGGCGACGGCGATGTTTCAGTGATCCGACGGACACGCGTCGACCGGTCGATAAATATCCAACTTTAGAGCAGATTTGCGGCGCCTAGTTATCTCTGGGTGTGAAAAGCCAATCTCGAGAGATTCTTTTTCAACGACGCGCCGACTGAAGGGAAAGGATAAGAGATCGGAGAGGGTTCCAGTTACAGCGGGTCGAGAGCAGAAATTAAGTTCAGGGTTTTATAGAGCT